TACTACTCACACTCTTAATGTCGCTCAACTTTTGGTATCGTGCTTCTCTGCGGTCGTGGGCCGTATCGATGTCAAAGTCAGAATTTGAAGACACAAATTCTTGACAGCGTTCCGCTGTCCACATCGCCACACCGTCAAAATGCTGGCGCTCGAGCTCAGTCTTATCAAGCAGAAAGCCTCTCTCCGTATCATCTTGAGGCAGTTCGAAACACTTGATGCCATCATCGGCATTGTGCTCATCATATCGAATTGGCAAAGAAATTACATCATCATTGTGCCTCCATCCCGGCGTCATATTGAAACGTCTCACTATATTATGAAGATCCGACTTTACCACAAAAGAGAGTTTTGAGGATTTCGTTGGATCTTCCTTGCGCAGCCTATCGATGATGTAGTCCATTGAATGCTCTGCAGAGTTCTGTTGAATAACAAATGATACGAGGCGCTAATGTACACACAAATTACCTTCAAGGAGGTTCTTGAGGTACATAATCTGCTTGCTGGTGAATCTGAGCAGTGCGGGGTCCAACTCGTGCCCCACATGTCCGAGGCAACCTTTGACAATTACGGTTCCATCTGCATTGAACCTAACAACTAAATGGCAGGAACAGTGACGAACGTCTTTTCTACTGGTCGTAGTTCGGCGCTTTGCTTTCGTTGTATAAGTACCAGCTCTGTTACACCTATTTCAAAAGAGTAACTCAGACCACGTCTCTTTTCACATCAATTGAAAACAAGACTCACAAATATCTCAGCGTTTTTGAAGTGTTTGATTTTTCCTCATGTGATTTGAAAAACGCAGTGCACATACGTTCACACGTCTCCAGAAACCATTCCTGATTCAATGCTTTCTACAACTCTTGGAACCACAGAATGGGTATCGCACTCACAAACCTCGAAATGCTCACTACTTGCGAAATTCATTGTAACGGCAGAGTAATTCTGTGGTCTTCCTCCAGCTCCATCCTCGGAATGGATGTTGCGACAATGCTCTGCCAATCCTTCGTATTTCGTGAAATTTACACTGCATAGCGGGCAAACAATCTTGGCGACTCCAAGTTTCACTTTTATCTGTTCGCGGATTTGTAAAGCCGCTTCATGTGTTTTTCGATGAACATTTCTTAGATGAGGGTAGAAACTTTTTTTCAGCATTACTTTTCCACATTCTGTACATTCCATATAAGAAGAACGAGTCATTCTGAAATGGGAACATATGATGGAAGGACATGTTTTGTGTTGCTAACGCTGTACAAAACAGTGCAATGGCCTGGCACATTTTGCAGAGTTTCACATGAAGTACACTGCTTCTCCTTAACTCTATAAATAGGGGCTGAAATGCTGCAAGGACTTAAGACAGACCTGGAATTCATGGACAAGATAGGCTGATTGTATGATAGTATTTCCACCCGATGCCTGCTCAACAAACACTTTTTTATAGGGCCGTCGTTCATTCATTGACAAAACTTGCAGAGCCAGAGAACGTGTCGTATTCGATTTAAAAAAAACCGGATTTTCTCCAGAAGCAGCCGTAGAATTGGGCCGAAATGCCGAAATACGGACAAAGAAGTGATCGAGATGCGAATCGAGCTTAGGCATTGTTCATGAGTCCTGTAAGACCCTGTGTGAAATACGGCGGTTCGAGAACAAGAAAAAAAAATTCGTAGTTAGGAGAATCGCCAACCGCACCCCGTTCGTACGGAACCGCCGCTGTTCTTCGGTTGGAGGCGAAACGCCAGTAGATGCGTATCTTCGATTTTGCATGCTCCGCCCCAGAGAAAAACACCAGGGTGGTAGGCCTAGCGCTTTTCGCCCAACTGCTTCGCCGAACCGCCCGTCGATACGTATCAAAGACGCAGTTTCGCGCAAGCCGCCGCCACCTTCGCAACACGCCAATCGATAGTATCGAAGGTGTTTTTCGCTGAAAGCGTTTAAAGAACACTATGGGTACGCTCAAACACATATGAGGTGTAATGAGACTTAACAGGCCCCCCAGCCTGTCGATGTGTCGTGGTTTCGCGGACGCACGTGAAACTGACAGTCGGGGTCGCAGAGAACGGGACCCGCGACACTCGACAAGCTGGGGGGGGGGGCTGTTCAGTCTTCAGACACCTTTAATGTTGTATTGAGCGTACCAATGTGTCTTCTAAGATGAACATTGGGCAGTCAGACTGTCGCAGCAATGCCTTGGCCTCACCAGCGGAATTTCTGCATTTCTGCACATCCCGCACTTCTGCATTCCGCGGTTTTTGAAATCGATAGACATATTTTCTTTCTTCTGCAAGCTCTGTGGTTCTCCAAGTTCCGGGCTAATGCCGTTTGGACTCCAGCAACTTCGGCACCGAGCTCATTTTTAAATTGCCTAAGTCACCAAACCCGCTGAAAACATGACAAGGGTTATTTACCATCGTGATTACAATTATGACACTCATTCTTGGCGCTGGCGCCAAGGGATGATGGAGCGATTATCTAGTGTCATCCATTAGCGCCAGCGGCAAGAGTGAATGTCACATTCGTAATCAGGATGTTAAACTACCCCTACATACAAGTTTTTAGCGGATTTGGTAACTTAGGCAATTTAAAAATGAGCTCGGTGCCGAAATTGCTGGAGTCCAAACGGCATTAGTTTCCACAGTTCTGGACATTCCACGGTTCGGCATTTCTGCATCTAAAAATGTATTTCTATGGACAGTTTCTATGGGGAGCCCAAGCTTCCTAGTAATATACGGCGCACTAGATCTTGCTACCGATTACGTTGAACGGAATATGGATAATGCTGAATATTGGGCTTCACCACGACTTTTCCTGTTGCAAATTCGACGGTTCTAACGGCCTTACAACAAATGGGCAAGTAATCAGATATAGCAAATAGACAATGGCACACACAGCAGCATAGGAAACATGACAAGGAGGAATAATAATCAAAAGATCACGAATATGAGAGAATATGAGACGTCACTGCTGTTTTAAATTTTTGCGCGTGAGATTGCATGTAATATTGCCTTCTCGGACAGAAACACTTTGTTTGACGACAAAATACTTCCGAGCAACTTTCCCGTATTCGATTTGTTTTATACGGATTTAGTGTATCCATATTTTGACGATGACTATTCTGAAACATCGCTTCCGGGAAGCGTCTTCATCAAGGCATTCCTGGTATCTTTACGTCTACTTCTCGTAGCATGTGATTGCGCACTGTCGTTTTTTTAGTGGGAGCAAAGTTGCGAGTGCATTCCTGCTTGAATTAAATTTCATATAGAGCTTCCTTATTATTTTTCCAGTCGTAAGGAGTGTATAGTGTAGTTCGCTGCGGACGGTTGGGCGTGTCAGTGCGGCTGCGTTTGGCGCGGTGCCAAACTCGTTCTCCACCAGTTGTTGAAGCGGGCAAGTGACAATACTGTATCATATCCTTCGTATTACTCGTTTTCTACCACTTTTTGTCGCATGCGCGTTTCAACAACGGCAGGGCTCTGAAGGTGTGAACACTCATACTGGCTGACACGCCCAACCGTCCGCAGCGAACTAGAGTGTATTCGATTCACGCTGTTCTTCAGAGCAACTTTCAAGCTTTACATTGTTAAACTGTCTTTATCCTTTGTCCCGTGTTGAGCTGCAGCTGGTGAATTATAAATGCGTTTGTTCACCTGTTTCCGATACGCAGCAATCGATATGTCACTGCATAGTCACAACAGCGGCATAAATTTTTCTTAGATCAATGTCTGTATTTATTTGGTTTTCATATACTTTTGCTCATTACTATAACCTGGGGGAGGGGGGAGTGCAGTGCTTCGTATCATATCAAATATCGGTCGAGTAACACGGGTATTCTCGTGCAGGCGTTTTAAACACCTGCAGGCTCTTTTACCGTGAACAGTCCAGAAAAGCTTTGCGCATGATCCTGGGGAGGGTATGACGGTAGCCTGTATAGCTGGAACCATTCCTTCCACTTCTAGACTGATCGTTAGAGGAAAATACTCATGTCCTGGTTGGCAACCGCTTCTTGACTGCTCTGCAACAAATTAAAAAGGAAACCGAAGAAAAAGCGTGGAACCTTCGCAGCTTGACGAAAATCCTTGTGCAAAACTGCGAATACCGCACACCTGCGGCAAGTTAATGTGCCGTATGCTTCGCTCTAATATATAGTGTAGTTCGCTGCGGACGGTTGGGCGTGTCAGGCGGGATGAGTTTGGCGCGGTGCCAAACCCACCAGTTGTTAAAGCGAGCAAAGTGATATGACTGTATCATATCGTTCGTATTACTCGTTTTCTACCACTTTTTGTCGCATGCGCGCTTCAACAAGAAGGCAGAGAACGGCTCTGACAGCGGTGCACACAGGGTACGCCATCGTTGTGATCATCACAAGGGGGGGGGGGGTCGTATTTGACCGCGAGGGAGGGGGGTCGTATTTGGTCAGAGAAAAATTTTTTTGATAGTTGATTTCTCTTGTTTCACGGACGCTGTAAAGGGGGGGGGTCGTACTTGGTCATTTTTGGGAGGGGGGTCGTATTTGGTCAGTTCACGGACGCACTACTATTTCCGACACTTGAAAATGATAGTTTAATTCTGACGACCTCCCCCCCCGCTCGACGGCTCGGTTCGATGAGGAAGGACAGAGGGCTGGGGTCGTACCAACTCCCAAAAGGGGGTCTTTTTGTATGGAATTAGGGGGTCGTAATTTTCAGAAAATGATCACAACGCGATGGCGTGCCCTGGGTGCCCACTCATACTGCCTGACACGCCTAACCGTCCGCAGTGAACCACAGTATATTAATCTGCTACCGAAGTGCCGAATAGGTAGTAAGGTGCCGCACAACTGAGATTTTTGGGAACTTTGTAGGGGTCTGAGGGCTGTAAAAGTGGAATGATCTATCCCCAGTGCCATCGTTATTGTACTGCTTCATTATTTATTTTATTTGCAGCGGTTACTAACTTTCTAGTGAATCTGAAAATTAGCACAAGCAGTAGAAGGCTCCAACAGAGCTTTTTCTTTCGATCGTAAAATTTCGGGGCAATGCCCTTTCCTTTTTCCCCGCGACCTATGTCTCTTTTTATCCCAAGCTCGCAGTAGTAATGGTAACTAGTTCACTTAAAAGCCTCTTCTAATTTTCTAGCTAGCAATAGGGAGAAATGGGAACCGGGAAGCCCTCCCACTCACCAGACTCTGGCATAGGAGAGTGTATGGGCTAGAACCACTACGGTCGCCGCTGCGTTCCAAAGAGAGCGTGCCCTCCCGTCCCGAACTGCTTTAACGCACCCCTCCCCCCTCTGAACCTTTCTTATACTACTGTTGCGTGGGTTTTGCGACGTTGCTGGGGCGAGAAGAACCGTGAGTTATCCAGCGAAATGTGAAAACGTGCGCCCCGCAGAGCCGACATAGTCGGTCAACCGCATGCCCTCCCGTCCCAAACTAATTTAACCCGTTTTCTACATTTCTTACCAAATGAGTGTAGTTTGAAAGTCTGAAGTGGCTGATTAGTGCTCCCTCTTTTCAAGGTTCATCTGCCTCGACACATTGGCAACATTGCGTGCCCATTCGACAGCACTCCAGACACTCAAATAGCCCTTTTGCTCAGGCCACGTCTTACCATTGGGGAAAATTTTGCAAAGTGCGAACCCCGCGGTTTTTCTCCTCCTCTGATTGCAGCCCTATTCCCCATCCCCTATCCTGCCTATCGTTTTTCGAAATTCCAGCCTCTTATCTTCACCTAGGAGTTTTTTCCCCAGAAATCCCTCCTTTTTTCCAAAGAAAACTGCCGTCGAAGTGGGAGGGGGTCGAGTCAACAGCCAAAACTGTTTTCATCGTGGCAGATACGCTCCCCTCCATTTGCAACGACCAGAAGCGACGCCTTACTGGCGATCCCTTTACGACGTGCCCTGCTCTTGCTACAGTGTTTTTCTTCTCAATGGGAATGTATTTTCAGCTATGGGATGAAGTCAGCACCAATTTTGAGCTCTTATTCGATCCCAAAGCGAGCAGCATCACGTAACGCCTCATTAGGAGATCCAACAGCCATGACAACCGACATTCTCTGACTGAATGCAGGTTTTCATCGAGACGTTAAAGGCAAACCTTGCGATTGCATATTGTGGATAGTGACATTCAGTTATAAACCTGTAATCGCAACGTGACT